CGTCTTCTTGGGTATTTTTTGGCCATTTACTTCGTTCGGCTCACTCGATCGCGCTGTCCTGCAAACAATTACTGTTTCTTTTTCCTGCACAGTTTCAGGGATGTCATTGCTAAGTGGAGTAAACCACTGCTATAGCAAACACCACTAGTTTATCAGAGTAATGCAAGAATGACATTTCACTGGCGGTATCGCTGTGCTCGAGAGCCGTTTCAAGTGAATCATCAGTGGTCTGAAAGGATCTTTTATTTGACGTGCCGTTCTTCGCTACTCCAAATTCATTATCTGAAAGCAGAAAACTAAAAATTGAGAAAATAAGGCATTAGCTTCAAGCAAAGTTCTATACTTTCTATTCAATGCAGCTGGCTTAAACAATCGTGCTATGCGCAAAATTTCCCCGATATTTCCTCTTTATGAATAGCAGAGATGAGAGCACTCGAAAGCAGCTCAAGTGCAAATGCCTGCTGGCAAGGTTACCGATGGCTTCTACTTTTGAACGTTGCTTACAAACAAGCTGATGGTGACCCTATTTTTTTACTTTAAGTTTTATCTGTGTCTTCAAAAAAAGATTGGAATAATCCTTCAACTTTGCCGAAACTTCAATGGTATATATGTAACTTTGAAATATTTGAATAGAACACACACCCAAGCTGGAATGGGAAGAGCAGTCATCGATGCATGTGTGCTCCTCCAACTCGGATGAATCCAAAGCAGTAGTGACCGATGGTGAGTCGCTGAATGAGTACTCGCTCATGAGCGCTGTCTCCATGAGCTCGCTTATGACGCAGTACCATTCCGGCAGCTGCAGAATTTATCGTCATCCAGAGAAAGCTCTCATTCAGAAATCAGATTGTTTTCAGAAAACAGCCAAAGCATGCAACTATAACTATCATAATTCTTCCAGTCCCGCTAATTACATCTCTAGAAAGATATTAAGTTAAAATCCGAAATGATGTCACAAGCTCGGGACGCATGCAAAATTCCGGAAAGCTTGTGTATTTAATATTTTACAACACACGCATTATAGCCGTGTTGCTTGCCGATATTCACGGCATTCATTTTCATTGCCTTCTATTTTACGACTTTGCTTCAGTCACAGGCTGTTCTGCACATCTCCAGGCTCAGTATTCATCGAAGAACAACTACGGATGAGCACAACTGCGCCTGCCATGGAAAAAACTGCGCAAAACTGTAAAAAAAGCTGCCACAAAAAAATGATGCACTGCCTAGGAGAAGAAGCAAAAAAAAGGTATTTTTTGCCTTGAAATGCAGATACACAGAAGATATGCTGCCGATCCCAAAGCACAAGGGCCGATAATGTAGTGACTTAGCACGTCCCGTCCAAATGCAAAAGGGAGTAGCTCAATTTCATCCCGGTCCATTGCCCCTTTTGAAATGGGA